TGGTAGAATGAATATCTACATCAGCACTAAGCAAGACAGTATAAACGCAAAAGAGGCTATGTATAGAACACAGGAAGGATTATGTGAAACAGCTAGTAGTTTCTGCACTTGGATTCATTAACCGCTACACTGTATCAACTACAAGGACTAGGAAAACTGCGTTTTAGAACACTAGCATATACGTTGTAAAGGAAGAAACAAAGCTAGCCTTCTAGATTATGCCGCACACGACAAGCACAGCGGGATAAGACGTATACAAGGTAGGTGAAGGGACGATCACGCCCGTGGTCATAATTAAAGGACTTGCAGAGATGATATAGCAGTCAATCCAACGAAAAAAGGAGTATGGATCACAGGTCACAAAATTTCAGCATTGCGGACTTTCTCAACTTTATATTAGCTATTGTGAGTTGTTTTTGTGCCACCTTCTGCTGCCTTTCAAGTACTCCGTGGACAACCTGTTGTGCACGAGTACTCGAGAAGGAATACGGTACTAGACGGTAATCAGCGCCTGCAACACTGCTCGTGCACGCTGATGCGAACGTATTACTGAGGAATAACTAGGTGAATGAAGGATAAAAGACCAGGAAAATAATGCACAAATTCCCAATATTTAAGCCTGTTTATGGCGCGACGGGTGAATACAAACCACGACGCTATGCGGCCGCAGCGCATACTTCGTATGTTCTGCGGTCTCCTTAGGCATTTTTCGAAAGGGCATTGCAATGACAAGCTGGCACCGCAACCACAATCCCAATTTTCTAGGATAGGCAAATTTACACAAATTTGTGGTTGAGACGGTGTGGTCAAAGAGCTTTTTAGAAGTTCTTTTTCTACCATTTCTAAATTTTTGTGACTAAAACTAGAGAGAGTGAAAATGCAGTCATTTATCAAAACTGACCTGTAAAGTGACCACTAAAACCGACACTGGCGCGGGTCGCCAGTGTCGGTTTTCGTGGAATCGTCAGCCAATAAAGGAGGAGCAACCAATTGATACTGGGGCGCGGTACCTTACCGCGGTACTTTTCTTAATAAGATACATGGCAAGAAGCTACTCCTCAGTTTCATTAGGACTGGCCTCTTCAAACTATCGGTTAGTGCAAATGTCTGAGCTAAACTACTGCCAGAGTCCGCAATTGCGAATAATGTTTTCGCTAAGGTTTAGATGGCATTTTCCTGCATATGCAAGTGTTTGCTTTGAAATGTCAGGCGTTTCTGAATCGGCAATCCATGACCACGGGCTAGAACTCTGAATGTTGAGGATTTTAAATGTACAAGAGGTGTATCATCGGGAAATAGAGCAATTTAGCTGGGGTAGAGTCTAGAGAAATGGCAGATTGTACTTAATTAATTGGAACGTAATACAATATTGTACTTGTATCTTATGTATATATGTGCTTATGTAAAAGCTAGGTAAACCGTATGGGCAGAAAAAAAAAACAAAAAAGATTGGTTAGGATGTGTAGTAAGATAAGGTAGAACATAGTAGAAATTAAGGTAATTAAGATAAGGAGGAGATAAGCAAAAGGCCACAACACACGTTTTATCAAAGGAGAGGGAACTTAAGGGGAAGGGAGAAGGGGAAGGTGACGGGATTTTAGCATATGAGGTGATTTAGTCTTCAAAAAATTAGCAAGAAGCAGTAGGATGGAAAGATGATATAGAAACCGTGGCCTGCGGTTTGTGATGCGATTGAATGATCAGTAGCTGGATGGCGAGGAAACTCGTACGCTATTGGAGAGTCCAGGTGGAAACGCGCGCGATATGTTACAACTAATCCAAGCGCTTTGGTTGAGTGGCTCTCTTCGCTTGTGAGTAGTGATTAGTGAGAGCTCGAGTGAAATACAATAGTGAGGCCTGCAGGCGAGCTTCCATTATCAGCAGCATCACGTGGATCTACAATTCAAAATCGAATACATAAAAACACAAACAATGAGCAAAACAGTAAATCTTACCTTTTCAGACATTTTGAAATCCTTCATCACAGATAAACGCATGTCATCGGTAATGCGGTGCGGAAAACAGGCTGCTGTTTTGACAAAGGTCTTCATTTCACGCGATAGCAAAGTATTCACCTAAATTCCCCTAATAATCGTAAGTCACTTGCCACCTGACTTCACTGTCAGATCACCCTACTCGTTTAGGATACATCAAAATCATGACCTTACATCCTGAAAAGCGTGGCCATAATAGGCAGCCCGCATACAAGTACAATCCCAACATTTTATTGTCATGGCGCTAATGACATTCATTGCAAGCTTATCAGCCATCCTTATAACATGCTATTTCTCTTGATAATAAAATTAAGACAACGTTTATACATACTTTCCAGTCTTAGAATCGCAAAATACAACTTGTTTCTTAAATAATTAAATATTAGGTTGATGCATAATTATCCGGACTTTTTTTGCGTGCTTGTATCTTTTTTGTTTTGAAAGCT